CCCAGTTTGCTACAATTTAGGAGCAATCATTGCTTTTGGTAACATCACCAACTATCCTGTTTTAGGAGGTCCTCTCTGTTCCTGAGCTCCCTGCTCTGCTTATTTCTGTCTCACATTTCCCTCTTTGCTCTGATCAGGCTTATCTCCCACTGCCCTCCTGGGATGTACCCTGGATAACTGGACAGATGGTGCCTCCATGTGTGAGCTACGGGTAGAAGAACAGAAAAAAGGAATGAGAGAAGTGGCCACATGGGGCATTTGCAGTTGAAGAAGTTGAAACAATCTGGTTCCCTTAAAGACTTCAACTAGCAAGTGCAGCTATTCAAACATAAATGCCCTTGAATGGAAGCTGGCTGAGTTTTAAAAATTATATTTCAATATTTGTGCAACTTAAGAAACTAGGTAAAGATAATGTGTTTTAGCTAACAGCCTGATGACCCCCTGGATTTCTACAACGAAGGAAGCACTCAAAGACTGTACAAAGGGAGAGCTTTTTGAAAGGAAGTTTTGATTCTTGGAAATGTTTTTGAAAATATATTTCTCGGCAGGTTTTTTTTTTCATGAGAATAATCTGATATTGTAAGTCGAGTGCTGACTCACATCATATGCCAGTTTTAGGGTCATGTCTAAGGAATTCTGGTCAAAATGTGATTAATGTTGTGGACGTTGTATTTCAAGTCAATGAATAGAAATAGAGAACTGCCACCAAGATTTATAAGGGGTTCATGGGTTAAAAATGAAACTTACACAATGCCACTCCCACATTTGTCACAGAGTGGCATCTTCTGTGTGCTGCCAGCACCACCATGGACTTTTGTAACTGGAGCTCTCACACTCCGAGTTCCAGCAGGACGGTCATCTGAAAAACAAAGTGTTTCCATTTATGGCAAAGGAGCAGCTGGCTACAGTTTGTACTTTGCTTCTATTTTAAGGTGTGCACTTTAACCTCAGGAATTCTTAAGTTGCACCCATAGTATCATTTCAAAAGAAGCAGGACTGGTTCAAGCATAACTTGCTTGGAAATAGGGCCTTACAAAATAGAAGTAGTTACACCTTTTTGTTGGTATAGGGAGCTGTTACAAAATGCTCAAAGGAGCAGAGAACACGTTGCATTTTTTTCTTTTTTTATTCTGGTAAATATACAGAATATAAAATTGGCCATCTTCACCATCTTTAGTGTGTATTCAATGGCATTAAGTACATTCACAATGTTTAAAATTATAGCCTATATCCATTTCCAGAATGTTTTCATCATCCCAAACAGAAACTCTGTACCCATTAAACAGTAACTCCCCATTACCCTCTCCTTCCAGACCCTGGTAACCTCTTTTATACTTTCTGTTCCTATGACTTGCCAATTCTAAGTAATTTGCATGAGTGGAATCATACAATATTTGTCTTTTTGTGCCTTGCTTATTTCGCTTAGCATGATAGTTTAAAGGTTCATTGATGTTGCAGCATGTGTCAGAATTCATTCCTTTTTAAGACTGAATAATATTCCATTATAATCATATACCACATTTTGTTTATCCATCCATCTATCAACAGACATTTGGCTACTGTGAATAATGCTGCGATGAACATTGGTGTACAAGCATCTGTTTGAGTCCCTCCTTTGAATTATTTTGGGTATGTACCTAGGAGTGGGAGTGCTGAATCATATGGTAACTCTGTTGAACTTTTTGAGGAACCACCTACCATGTTACATTCCCATCAGCAATGCACAAGGATTCTCATTTTTCCATATCCTCTCCAACACTTGTTATTTTCCTTTTTTTTTATAATAGCCATGCTAAGGGGGCATTTTGCATTTTTGTGGAACTTTTAAAGGACTATATATATATATCTTTGGGGGGTGAAAAGACGTTGGTAAGGCCATGAGCCCTAACGACAGGAAGAGTGGGCTGGAGACCCACCTCTGTTTCCTACTGGCTGTGTGACTACAAATCCACCCTCTCTGTGCCTCACCTCTCTGTGCCTCAGTTTCTCTTTTGTTAAATAGAGGAAATAATAGCTCCTACCTCGCAGAGTTATTGTGAGGATTAAATGATCACGTATGCAAAACATGGGGCACAGAACTTGGAACACAGTAAGAGTTTATTACATTGTTATTTTTTAATTTTGGTGATGATACTCTTGAGTGTGAGGGAGGATGACAAATTTTGCCATATTCACTTAAAACTCTATTTTTACAACTTATATGCTGAGCCTGCTAGCCCTGGACTACTGTGGATGGAATTTGTCTTTGGTGCCTTTTTAACCATCAAGTTGATGGCTACTTGGACACNTAATAAAGCTAAAGGAGCCACATTTTCTTAAAATACCTGAGTTGATAGTGTTCATATGATGGGGCCCCTCATTGGAATGTTGATTTTATCTGAATTCATTGAGCACCACTTCGTTAGGTATTTTTAAAATGTCTTATGTGTTTATTATGTATGTTGCATCTGGTGGTATAATTGTTGAATATGAAGTTAGAGGAGAATCCAGGGAATTTCTCCCTGACATGCACTGTGAGAGTTAAAGCAGATAACAGACAACTGCAGGCTGTGTTAGAATACAAGATTATCATTGGGTATTTACTACAATTGCAAAATCAGCTTGTTAAGGAAAGACAGTTAGACTCCTCCAGATATCTTGATGTTTACATGTTTGATGGTCATAATATAAATTTAAATCGTGGAGGATGACATCCAAAAAAATTATTGGCTTAAATGTCATGAAGTTTTTGCTAGCCCCAAAGAGAAGAAGAGTTTGCAAAACATAGCTGAATGTATGTTTCTGTTACAGCAGGCCTTTGCCTCCCATTGCTTCTCCTCAGTACACAATAAGATAAACATCTGAAAGCCTTGGTTTTAGATTTGGACTCAACACTTTGCTATACTCCTGCCCAGAGTCATTAGTGTCTTCCTGTGTAAGTGCGTGTGAGTGAGGGCGTGCGTGCTCTGGTCTGCAGAAGACTTAAGCTTTGGGATACAGAGTGACTGTGTCGTAGCCCTCTGGGGGCCTCGTGCGGGCTCTTGCATGAGTTTCGCAGTACAGCTGTCCCTCCACGAAGAAGTAGCCCTTTTGCTTGAGGTTGAGGTTGCAGTCAGCACACACAAAGCACTCTGGGTGCC